AGCCGCTGAGAAAATCTATACGTTTGAATAATATATAGTCGAGCTGCTGCTTTCAGCCTTGATCACATGAAAGGGAAGAAAATCCATTGGACAATGCTGAAGTCATGAAGAGTGTTGGAATGCACAGTGTTCAAAGAAACTCGAAATCCATCGGTTATACATCCCAGGAAGTGAGACCACTTTTTCTGTCCCTTCGCCTCTAGAACTGTCTCTTTCTCTTTCCAACAAAAATACACATTATGACATCTGCCTTTAAAGTTGTTTCTCATATAATACATATTATTTCACGAGAACCCACACAATCAGCTCATAGAGGTTCAGTCACTGAACTCCCCTGCCTCTACTTGAGGACGAGTGTCCGCACAAGGACGACTGAATGAGTTCCTCTAATGCACCTCAACATTTTCAAATACTTTGAATTTTTATTATGCATTTTCTCCTTTTTTACAGTTCACTGATCTGTTATATTGCAATCAATCTATCACATTTTATTTGTATAGCCCATAATCACAAATCACAATTTTTAAGAGTAAAGAAAAACTACAAAAAAATAAATTTTAACAAGGAAAAAGAACGTAGAAACCTCAGAGAGAGTCACACGTGAGGGTCCCTCTCACAGGACGGACAGAAGTGCAATAGACGCCACATGTACTGGGATGTCAGTAAAATAAGAGTATTTACAGCATTGGTTAGAGTAAACAGTTTGTAGCATAATGGGAGTTAAATGAGGAATTCTTGCAGTAATGGTAGAGTATCTGAGAAGAAATATTGTATTTCAAGCAGTAATCATAGTCCACGATCAGCGGCCAACACGATTAGAATACAACATCATAATCAATCATCATGATCCACTGCCACCCTGTCATTTGTTTTTTTTCTGAAGTCTAAATGATGCTGTGTCTCCTCTTGTGGACTAACCCTAATGAATGATGGACATAGTCCTGGGTGTTGGACTTCATGGAGACCCCGAAGGTCTTATATTTCTAATTCCTGAGGGAACATTATACACTGGTACAAAGAATAGAATTGTTTATCCACTTTTTTAAACGTTCGACCATTATCTACTCACCACTATGCTAATGGAGGGGTGGTTGAAGTGTTTGAGTCCACACAACACTTTTGGAGTTTCAGGAGTAAACAGCGTCGCAGCCAAATCCAAAACAATTGAAGTAAATGGTGACCGATTCTTTGCATGTAAAAAAAACAGAAAATGCCTCCATACTGCTCCTGTGGTGTTCGTGTGGCTACAGCCCAGGGTTATTATAGTTAACGAAAACTAAAACTAGCAATGAAAAAATAATTTAGTTAACTGAATAACGAAAACTAAATAAAAACTACAATGAACAATGCAAAACTAACTAAAACTAAACTGAACTGCAGATAAATTCAGCTTCGTTTTCTCCCTGGATTACTGCCTGTCCTGCAGGTGATGGTTAAAGAATGAAATTAAAGGACTTGATAAACCATATTTGGTGTCACACATTGTTTCATCCTTTTTCAGCTTCTACAAGTCAAGGCTTTCTCTTAATACCTGGGAAAACTAAAACTAAGACTAAAACTAAACTGAAACTAGTTGATTCCTCAAAATAAAAACTAAACTAAAACTATAAAATCACTTGTTGAACTAACTCAAACTAAACTGAAATAAAAAAGCTAACTGAAAAACTATATCAAAATAAAAACTAATGAAAATGTCAAAACTATAATAACCTTGCTACATCCTCAGAGGATGTAGCCACACTAAAACACGATGTAAATGATCTTGTTTTGAGGCGAATATGAATGTCGTGGCTTGTGGACACTTGGATGACACTACCCGAGCAGTATGGAGGCACGTTATGTTTTTTTTCTGTTGTTTCAACGTCAGAGGAAGCGGTCATGATTGACTTTACCCCTGAGACTCCACCCACTCCTCCATCGGCATCGTGGATAATAAGTGAATTTAATTTTTTTGGTGAACTATCCCTTTAACCGTTTTCGAGTCAGTGCCACCCTAACAATTATCAAGGTCTCTTACCATCCTGCATCAAATAAAACGAGAAATCCAATGAAGAGACAGCAGCAGCTACCAAGAAAAAAGTTTGGGGGTTTAGGAAAAAAAACCTAAATTGGGCACAATTGCTTTAAAATGTGAGCCCTGCAGTTCTCTGCCAGTTTCTGCGCTGAAGGCTGGAGAGAGTCAGTTTCAGCTGTAGAGCACCTGAGGCCATGAAGTCCAAGAAATGACTGTACTTGAGCTGCATTTGGAGGATTTGGCTGAATCCCTGCTCATCTAATGTAAGTTGTTGGGTAAACTAGAAGAAGCCAGAGAGACAGGGAATGGATATCAGGGAATATGGGACCCACATGCTGCCCCTGCCAGAAGTGCAGAGAGTAACCTGGGCCTCACTATCGCAGAACATTTCAACAAGATGCTGCTGGATAGACGGGTCACATTCAGAAACGTCCGTCTGACAAGGCAGCCCCACCCATGCACGATTTGAGGAGTAGGACGTCACTGAAGTGGATTTCCATGCACTGTTAACTATCCTCAGATGGTTGGTATCAATGCAGATTTTTCTATATTTTTTATGCACATTTAGGCGCTGCATGTCACTTTTTTTGTTTGTTTTCTCCACTCACCCCAACCGGTCCTGGCAGAGGCGGTCCACACCGAGGTTTAGGTTTCTTCCACCTGGGAGTTCCCCCCCCCCTGCTGTTGCTCATGCTTGCTCGGTGTGGAACAAGTTGGATTTTGTCTTTTTTAAGATCTTGGACTTTTGTGCAGCACCCTGAGACAACTGTTTGTTGTGATACTGTGCTATATAAATACATTTGATTGATTGATTTGATTTGATTGATATCATGCAGCACGTATTTTGAAAAAATTGTTTAACATTCAGCTCGCACTGTCACTTTGTGGAATTAAATTGGGTACAATTAATTTAAGAGATTTTTGAATGGAGTTTGGTCTGACATTGTTGTTTGCTGTTCCACGCAAATGTAATTAAAGATTCTTCAAGAGGACGAATTGATAGAATCATTTTACAACACTGCTGAGAAAAGCTGCCAGGGTTTAAACTCCCGTCTCAGTTTGAATCAAACTGGCTGTGGATCAGTTGATTGGTTTTAGAATTTTGTTTTAGAAAATTGTTTGTGATTATTATAGCTTTTGCTCATATGCATTAGCAACACTGTTGTAATGCAGTCAAACCAACAAAGCCACTCAAATAGTGATATACTGTCTGTGTGTTGATGCTAGACAATAAGTTGCTTTCATTGAAAGTCTGACAGCAGACTATCCCTCTCGTTAATTCGTAACCATGGTAATAACATGGTGTTTACATAGTTATATTTGAAAATGATGCGTTCAAGGGGGAGAAAATGTTGTATGTGTGCAGCAACGGGTGTCGTCCTTCATTATTTTTTGTTGCTTAAGGATTGTAAATTTTAAAGGTTCAGTGTGTAGAATTTAGTGATACCCAGTGTTGAAGTTGCATGTTGAACACGAATTGCATGTTTTCCAAGCTCTCTCTCTGATGAGCATTCCCATCGCGTTGTCATGGAGACCACCTGAGAACATAAATCATTCTGGATCATAGACAACCGGCTTTCTTGCACAGAGGGGGGATTTAGGTTTTGACTTTCCTCTCGGCTCAATATTTGAGCTTTCATCTGCTGGACTCGTGTGGTGGGCGCCTTTCTCTTTCAATGCAGTACCACCTCAACCCTTCAAGAAAAATAACCTGAAATGAGTTGGTTTTTAATTGAAGGATATTTATTTTGACATTACTGGCTCAAAAAAAAAAAAAAAMAGAAAGTTTCATTCCCAAAGACAAAAAATCTCAACTTTGAACGAATGTATATTGCCAAAGAGAATGTGGGAACTTTTATTTCTATGATATTTTCAAGCCAGAAATTAAAACGGAATGAAACCCTTTAAAAAACAGAAGAGTTATTGTCATACACGTGAAAGTGAGTACAAAAAGATCATCATGTCATTTCACTGTATTACAATGTTTTAGAAAGAAAATTACAATAATGAAAGAGAGGAATACTAAAGAGGCACGTATTGGAGTTAAACAGAGCCACTGACTGTGTCCACACACACACACACACAGTGGGCTGCTGAATCACCACAATAAGGGTGTGGTTTGATTTAAGAGTTTATTTATCTCAAGTCATTCCTCCTGTAGCTCCAGGGAGTAATTTAATAATCAGGCTGCTTCATCCGGATCAAATTCTGACGTAAAATTGTGTAATCAGCTTATGTGTATACCATTAAGCTGTTATAAATAAAAATCAGATCGAACTTTACTTGTGTGAACACATGTCGACATCACACACATTTAAACAGCATGTGATTTGTGTACAAACATGAGTCAGAGAGATGTGTTAACATTTACAGAATGTAACAGGAAGCTAAGAATGCAACGATTAAACACCGTAAAAGACATAACGCACATGTCTGAATGAATGATGGATCAATGAAGACCTCCTCCCCTTAGTTCCTTATTCTAACGCTGTCCCCTGTCACAGGGTCGTCACCGGACAACCATCCATGTAGAAACAAGAGAAGTTAGTAGTTAGTTACTCCTGGCGTTAGATAAAGGAAACATAAAGGAAAATGCCATTTACGCACACAGAGGGTGGGACGATAAACTGTTCATCTTAAGCCGCTCCTGTCTGATCTGTCATGGAATATTAAATTAAAAAATGTCATTTACATGTCAGCCGAAGTAAAAGTTTTAAAGTTGTATAACTCTGGAGGAGCGTTGTCAAGTCTGAGAAAAGAACTGATGATTTCATCCAGAATGTCTTAGCTTAGGCGTGGAGACCACAAACAGAAGCCCGTATTACAAACTGGTGGGGTGGAGAGTCATAATGTAGTCTAATGAAAGTCTAACAAAGGCAGCAGGGTGGGTGTTCAGTGTATTTGGAGCTTAACCCATGAGAGGGGTCGAAAGTTAGGGTATCAATGACATTTTAACACCATTGGCTTGATTTTTTATACCTTTTAAGATTTTTTCTTTATTGCTAATGTGTTCTTATTGTTGTGTTGTATTTGTGGCCAGGCCTTCACAGTCCCATAGTTTCATTTAATATGTTTTACTGTTAATAAAATGGTTTTTTGCATTTACCCTAACTCTAGCGTCGTGTCCTCCTTGTGTGTAGCAGTCACAGGGTGGAGTCTACTTTTGTGCACCTCACCTTTTATGGCTGTTGTGGTTTGAGTTCCGTCTTATTGGTTTTTATTATTCTGTCTTTACTCCCCACACAGGTGAATGTGGGCAAGATGGATTCTCTAATAGAGAAGTGGAATTTAATCATAGGTAACCTGAAACAGGTAATAACATGCACGCACACACACACAACACACACACACCTTCATCAGATGCTTGTATACCTGTTTGTGGAGAAAGGGTTTTTGGGATGAGAGAACTATATGGAATGTAAACTTTTCGACAACAAACAATTCAAATCTTCCATGAATGGCTTTTCACACAGGGGGACAGCCCCTCTGGTTCGGCAGTCTGGCTGCAAAGATTATTTTGAACTAAACTTAATGAGATTTCCCTTTAATATTATTCATTTCTTTTATCTTTACGATTTATTTCATTCAGTGCCTGTTCCCATGTAAACATCATTCGCTGGATTGAATCTGGAATTAAGTCATTTTACTTGATGGTCCCCAGAGGCAGGTAAGAAATGTGGTGGTGGTGGGAGGGGGGATGTAAAGAAAACATCTGCAGATAAATAAGAACGGACTACTTTTCTTGAACTCCACAGACTTGTGTCCCTTCACTAACACACACACACACATTCTGTGACACTGTGGGTGGTGAATCCCCACAAGTATTCCTTCCAAATTGTTTTTTAGAAAAAGACCTCTGGCTTATACTTACACATCAACTAGGTTTTCTTAGCTGGTGTCTCCCTGGTCTTCTAAACAAAACCAGCAATATAATATGCATGTGCTTTGGTGCAAATGACAAAGATTTGAATTGCTACTGAAAACAGTCTATAAGGTAAATTTAACGTCTTTAGCGTGTAGGAAAAAAAAGCCAGGAGCAGAAAATAGTTTCTGAACCATAATGCGGTTTAAGTGAAGTTTCATCCGTTACGGGAAGCGGAGGAATGTGCTGGCGAGTGACAGAGAGCACCCACATTCCCACAAGGCTTAAAGGCATGAGAGGTCAGCTGGCAGGCAGTAGGGTTTCTGTCATGTCGCTGTTGCCTCAGTCACCCACGTCGCTGTCCTGGTCTCCTATGAGCCACAGGAAGTGGAAGCTTAGAGCCAGCAGGGCCGTGCCCAGCAGGTCACCCAGTGCGGTCAGGTATGGGATGGAAAAACTGTCTGGGTCTTTGCCACTCCGCCACATGGAGTGCACCATCCAGTCTGAAATGCACAACAACAGCAACACCTGAAAGAGACAGAGATGGGTCAAAACAAATCAGGGACAAAATATTCATTTAAAGCTTTTGATGGTCTGAGCTTAAGGACAAGTTTGACATAGTTAGTGCTAATATTTCAATTCAATTCTATTTGTATAGCGCCATAATATACATTATCTCAAGGCACTTTACATAGAAGATCAAGAATCTTATTTAATATAGAGAAACCCAAAAGTTCCCACATATTTAGATGACGCTCCGTTTGACGGGGGTGTGTTCAGCAGTGCAACCATAGAGCCGCTGCGTGATGACTCGTGCACTGTATTTCTCAGAGGAACGGTACATATTGATTGAGTGGATACAAAGAGTTTTAAGAAACTTAAACTGTGAAATGTAAAACTGAGGCAGCCAACAAAGCGAGCGAGTCTTTTTTATGATCAGCTAAAGGAATAAGAAGTACTCACAGGTTCTCTAGAATCTTATATATGATTGACATGTGACACACAGGGTTATAGCTCGAGTGAAATCAACTTGGGAGAAAAGGATACACTTCCTGCTGTGATTGGAAGAAACTATAACGATATAAGAAGTTACACATATAGCAAAAAGAACAAGAAGGCTGAACGGGCTCCTGATAATTGCTTTAACTGTTGTTCATTGTGTAATAACTGAATATTAAGCAATCGAGACAAACTGTAACACTGAGAACAGATTTAGATATTTTCCATATGTGTTCCCAGCTACAGAAAGAAACCTGAAATCAAATCAGACATGGGGGGTCACCTCCTGCAACATGTTCACAGAGAGAACAGTTAACAAAAGTATATTTCTACACTTTCTTACATGTGAAAGTCATTGTAACGGTCACCGTTGACAACTGAAACACAGTAACATGAGGTCATTGTGACCTTGACCTCTGACCTCCAGGCACCACATTCTAATCAGTTCATCTTTGAGTTCAAGTGAAAGACATTCCCTCAAGCTGATCTTCAAGAAAAACATAAAGAAACTTTGTGAGGCCACCTTGACCTTCAGCTACCAAAATAAGGTGAGTTAATCCTTGTGCCAAATGAGAAAGGATTCCTTGATGGCATTCCAGAGATATCCAAAAATGTGCTTTGTGAGGTCCCTGTCACCTTTGACCACCAAAATCAAATCAGTTCATCGAGTACAAGTGAATATTTGTATCAAATTTGAGCAAATTCCGTCAAGGTATTCTTGATATATCGCTTTCACAGGTACGTGCGTAAACATAATGACCACTGGCTATCACCGGCACTGAGGCATTAAAATATATGTCCATCCTTTATCTACAAGGTAATATAATATCAATATAAGATCAATTATTAAGATTGCCAACTTTAAAATAATGTATGTGGTTCACATGTCTGTCTTATTTATAGTTCACTATCATATTAACAACTTAAGCAGATGATATGATGTTTTTGGCTGAATGTCTTCAACTCTACTATATAAAAGCAAGATGGAGGAAGAAAAAGATTTTATTATCAAATGCCACACAGACTGGTATGAACACTGGATGTTTAGTGGATACAAAGAGGAGAAGGAGTAATGGAGCAGCAAACCAACAGACGAGTTAAGATAATGTTATTCATAATTCAACTTTCCACGCATGGAATGAGCAAGAGAACAATAGAAGTCTATTAACTGATAAGGATGAGTGTCATTTAAGGGGGAAATGAGCTGTCCATTGTTGGGATGCAAACATGCTAAAAACAAAAAAGTGTTGCATTCAGAAGATATGACATGCTACGAATTCGGGCAAGGATGATGGTATCGAGGAGAAGTGATTATGTGAACATATCATTTACCTGTGGAGAACAACACACTGACAAACACACTAACTTGTGATAGTCCTGTCTTTTAATTTGAGGAATTTAATTGCGATGGAATTTCTACACCGGATGTAATCCAGTTAACGACATGCCCGTCCTCTCCTCTACAATGATGTTGCAAAATCACCTGCATCCAAACTGTAAACTGCAATCATTATATTGGTTTGTTTTTTATAAACACACAGGAAGGGAAAAGAGACTTGTGGGCAAAGTTTCAGACTCTCATTCTTCAAGGGGCCAGGTAATAATAATAATAAATAAACTAATTAGGAGGTTATTAAAGAGAAATCTGTCAATGGAGTAGTTGCAGAATAAGCTCATTAAGAATAAGGCATTAATAAGTGTTTTATAATGACTAATAAAGAGCCAATATGCCTCTAATATCCATGCTAATAAGCAACTAGTTAATGGTTGATATGTGTTCCCTAATATGAAGTGTTACCATGAATTTTATGTCACAAAGCCTTTCTGACACCAGGAACCCTTACAATATACCAGAAATAATTAAATTGCACTAGGAGACGCAAACATACTGTATGTGACCACCAGTTAAGAAGTATAACCAAAGGTTTAAGTGGGGACGGGCCTAGGCTATTAATTCTATTTTTAAATTGTTCAAATTGTTTGACATGGTAGGATTGTTCGACATGTGAATGACTCGCGCTAGGTTTACGGGTGCTAGTTAGTGAGGATTTTTGTTGAACTTTCAAGTTACCGTGTTCTTTGGTTAATTACTTAACTGTTAGTTCTCAAAATGTTTGCCGCCGCTGCTTCAGGATTGCGGCAGACACACGTTAGGCATGGTATCCTTGTACCATCTATTACCCTGCTGCATGTCCTCACTCACCCTCACTCACCCGCCGCAAAATAAATCCTAGAGGAAGCCCTGTATATAAATACATAAATCCAAAGGAGCAGATCCATCACGCTGGCTCTTTACGCTGAACCCGGTGAACAGTGAAAACCCATTGCATTTCATTTTTTTAAATAATGTATTTTTACAGATCGATGGGCAAAAATATCAATTTTTCTCCCTTTATAAGTGTGTAAAAAGTGAGGGCCACAGTACAGTATATACAATAAATCACCTTTTTGTCTGTTTGGCATACTCATGCATTTTTTTAAACACAACCCGTTTGAAGCTTTTTCTCTAAGACACTTAATTCCATCTTCTGTTTGCTCATATTTACATCTAACCCCCTCTGCCTAAATTAGGTATGGAACCCTGTGCTCAAAGAGACTTAGTGATATTGCTCGAAGTCACTCTACTGCTACACTGTAGGTATGCATCATCAAAACGTAATTGAATTTAGCTGTACTCTTCTAAATAACTGCTCACTGAAATGCTTGATTTGCAGACCGCGACAAGATATTTAATTTTGTGGATCTGTATTTTATATTGTAGATTAACTTCTACGGAAAGACATGAATGAAATCAGCCGTAAAACCAGCCGGAGTATTTCTGGACCCGTTCCTATTTTTTCACCTTTGAACTTTTGTTTGGTACTTTATACTTGTTCTTAAGTTTAACTTTAGATTTGTGTAAAGTCATCTACCACTGTATGGTAACACACACTTGGTAAAGTTAACTATAGTATATTTATATTCAACCACATTCTTTCTCTTTTCGGCTCACTGACTATACTGTACGCCTGCTACAGTGAATTTTTACTTTTTTACTGAATGACCTTATGAAATTCCACCACGCTACCGATAGCAACAATGTGTCGAGCACAGACAGTATATAAGTATATTGTAAGGTCTGTATATGTTGAATAAATGGATATGAGTTTGGGTTAACCGTTTCTTTCAGTTGGATATTTGAAATGTATTTCTTGGGGTTATAGCAGGCCTCTTAATGAAATATATCTTTATTGGTAAAGTGATTATAGTTTTAGATATGCAGTGAGACACTGGGGTCTATAAACAGAATTAACTAATGCTGATGTCTTTCACATTTAAGTATCCAAACTAAGCTTTGTTCCCTCTAATCCAGTGATGAACAATGTAAAAGGGTTTTCTCTCTGCCAGCTGAGGGGTTATGGGAAGAGAATGTCACACCTTGTTAAGCCCCATGACACAAATTGTGATTTGTGAATATGGGCTGTACAAATGAAATTTGATTGATCAATCGATTGATAACCTAAATATCTCTCTTGAAGTACTGAAGTTCCTTGTGAAAGTGTAGATTGTAAATTCCCCACTGAGGCAGATCACCCCACACCCTCATTCTTACCCACACATTTTTGAGCTTTTGTGTTCATTTGAGTTAAACGTAGACAGGATGATAAATCACACAATTTTTGGTAACCACTTTAGAGCTTAGTCCTGGTGAAGAGGCTCACTGAACGTCCAGATACTGCGCAAGGACACTTTGCTCTTAATCCTCAAACATCCAAACACTTTTTATTCCAGCGATAAAGATGCACAGTGTCACTCGACAAGATACACACGGGTCCAGAGGTGAGACATTGATATGTAACACTTTGTGGAGGGCTTGCTGTGACAGGCGTTTTGTCCCTTCTGGCATAGCAGCCCAGGATTTAAAATGTCTGTCTAGATTTAGCAGGTATTTAAATCAATTCCAAAGGAATTGCTGTGATTACTGGACCTGATTGTGGGGGTGGCATTTGTCTTTTTGTGGACTTTGTGTGAATTTGACAGTTTTGAGACATGAGGGAATGGTCGAAATCTGTCTTTTACGTAAACTGTGAACATGTGGTCCCATTAGAAACCAAGCTAAGCTCACGCTCCTTTAGCAAGCTTTAGCAAGAGTGACAGAATAGGAGATAGTAATGAGTAGTACACATACGCACTCATAAAAACACAATATCTGTGTAGTTTTCATGTGAGATAGCAACGTGCAGGCTTCAAAATCAAGCTTCTGGGACAATAAAGACCTGTATTGTGCTGAACTTAAATAAATAGGGACAAAAGAGAACTTGTCCTCAATATATATTTAAGTCTAGCATTTATCCATGCTGATAAAAACCAGGCTCAGCATTAGAAAAACCTACAGTTGGTATTTACCTTATATAGTATGTGCANTTCAAGCAATCACCCCATGATTTCACAAAATCAGATCAACAAAAAAACGCTCATGAATTATTTTGACATGCAAAATACCTTTTGGTATCACAAACCCTTTAGTAAAATTAAAACACTGACAGGAACATGGTGTTCAATGCACTCAAAAGCAATCTCTTCTCATTAATTATGCATATTAAGTGACAGAGGCTGGATCGTAATATGTTCAACCCTAACAACCCCATGGGTCTGTGTCCCCCAAATGATGCTCTATCTGTGACTGAGACACCCTTAAAGCAGCTCTTCTGGCAACAGACTTAACTGACTTAGAAAGATGCAGCTCTTCCTGTTCCCTGGGAATAATGTTTCATGTCTCCATTAAAGATTTAGGAGCAAAGCAGGAATCAGACTCACGCAAATATACACCAATTAAATTCTTCAAATACCAGACAGAGCACGGCACACCTGAAAAACTGACAGCACTCATCCATTATTCAAGTCGCTCCTTTGTAATTATCTTTACTGAAGCCAAAATCAAAAGTCAGATACCTTTGAGAATTTCTGAAAAGCACATTTAAAGAAGTCATGGGATAAACAACCCTGCATCATCTCCTGCACTACAGGGTTAAAAAGGAAGCTCTATCACAGATTCATCTGTCATAGAAACTTCCTACTGACGTGAAAATAATATTGAAAATCAACATCTAGCTTGTAAGGGTGCTCAAATGAACGAGCAATGGCAAGCTTTTATTATGTAGTAACAAACAGGGTGATTCTGTGATGCTCTATACAGGGAACAGGGACGACTACAAACATGTTTGTATAAAAATATACATCTATTTTTCATATGTTCTAATTTTTCCAAGTTAAAGACGTCCTTAAAGTTTTCCTTTCACCAGTCTAGGTCTACAGCCATAGTTTTTGTTTTTTAACCATGTCTTAACCACACTAGTTTTTTGGTTCTGCGTAAATTTTAATTCCCGTCCAGACTAACATGCCTGAAAACGCATATCATGTGACCACTAATGTACACTCCATTCGACACAGGAATTGTCCCAGATTCGTTGTAACGCTGAATTTTACTGCTCAACAGCTGTTGACAAACACAACGGGGTCAGCAATGCTTGTAATTGATTAGCGATGTTGTGCTCTACACTGGTAGCCGAGGCTAAATCAGGTTTTCATCTGAGAAGAGCCAGACGGATCAGCTGAGGTGAACTACTGGGAAAGTCCGGGACCCAACCCTTATACTCTAAGAGAGCTGGATACTCAGCTCAAGTTGCATTACCACAAAAAAACATCCCAGACAATTGTAGTTGGATTAATTGCACCCTCTTGTTCTCTATGGAGAACTCGAACATATCAGTGTTTAGCAGGTGGCTTGTAGTTATGTGGTGTACCTCATCACTGCATGCGAATGCAAAGCCAGCGAATAGCCCAAGCAAGACATTATTTCATCAATTAGTCATCATTAAAAGTACACTATAAATCAAACTTAAATACGCCAACATTGCATTATAGTTTCCAGATGGCTCATGCTGGATGAGGGTGTGGTACATGAGGGGTTTGGGGAACTCATTCATGGATTTCATCTACATTCTTCATACTAGCAATGTGTGTGTCCTCAACAAAAGCAGTTTGTTGTAATTTCTGTAAATGATCAATTAACGCAGAAAACCAGGTCATTGCACAGGGTTAGCATACCTCTACTTGCCATTGTTTAAAGGAAATAGGTATTTACACATCCAGCAGTCAAAGTTACAGTGTCACTCATTAGCGTGTGCGCTGAAAACAGCCCGCTGGAAACAAGACTGATGACAGTGATGAATCTGAACCAAACTAAGGGACTGAGGACCAAACAACCACAACAATGAGCTCAAGATGCTGCAAGGTTTCTTAGAGCTGAGGCGAACTACAGGATTAGGTGATCATTTTAAAATACGGATTAGTGCAGCTTTAAACCTGGGTCTGCTGTATTAAGATTCTGGGCTGTGAAAAAGGCCCTTAAGCTTTGATTCTTTTATGTGGAATGATAACAGACTATTTTTCGAAATCTAAACATTCTCACTGGCAGTGACAGTAACGGTCGTTAGGTGCTTACCTGCAGCATAGCAGCAGCCAGGTAGACAGACATAAAGATGGGTGTCAGAGTCGTGTGGCCGCTCTTCATCAGGTGGATGGTGTAGAGGAAGATTAGGTGACCGGGAATCACCAAGAGAAGGAGCACTTGCGCAGACCTGTGATTGGCTCCTGAAAACATACAAAGGATGGACAGAAGGTTGCATGTGAGAGAGGAAAGGAAAGTGTCTTATATAATTGGAGTATTCTCTATAAAAGACAGGATTGAATAGCTTGGTGACAAATCAGCCACCTACTGTCCACAGGGTTCAGAGTCCTGCTGGTTTTTATTCTCCACTTGTAACAATGAAATATTAATACCTGGCAGAGCAGGAGGAGACAGCAATTAACTGCCTGGTAGGACCGAGAAAGAGCAGCTGCTAACCAGGAAAAAAAAGCTCAAAAGCACTGTTACAAACTTAAGTTTGAAGGGTATTCATTTAAAGCCTGATTATTCTTGACAGCATGACAAAACCCACTTTTATCATACTTACTTCTGTGGAAGCCGATTAGTTCATCAGCAGACAGCGGGTATGAATAATAGCATAATTAAGGCCTAAACATAATTCACACCTATCATATCAGAGTTGGACAATGACTTCATTCCTCAATTCTCAATGGCATGAATCTCTAGATGATGCATTAGTGTTTGTTTCATTATTTCCATGACTAAGAAAAGACAATGATGAGCATCGACATCATTAAAAACACATTGTGACTCTATATCAACAAGCTGACAAAAAAAATGAATTAAACGTAGTTTCAACAATTAAACCTTTACCCAAATAACTCTGTTTTTATCGACCAAAGAGGAAGAGATTAAATCAGACAAATGGTATTTCCAAACAAACATCTAAATGTCTGCACTGTAGATTTCTCTTCCTGCACAGTCAAATATTTTTTTCTGGTGATTCTGCACAAAAGCAGTGCAACGTACACTGAAAACTGGCTCCACTTATACACTTCATGTCTATGGCTGCAGATTGGATAACGTGCAGTGAAGGGAAAGGGACATGACACCAACAAAACGTGTTGACATTTGGACCCAATTTAAATTTATTGCTATGAAGAAAAAAAGTGAGTGTGTAATTCTTTTAGAAGAAAAGCACAAACCTGAGGACACACCTTAGAACACCACACAGGAGCTGAGGTAACCTACTATTAAGATGTTAAATAACATTATAGCTTCTCTCAGACATTCCCTGAACTCCGCAGGTCCTCCGTATTTTCTCCCGAGGAGGTGCATGTGTGAACAAAAAAGTCTGAGGCCTCCGTGTATAAAGGATTCACAGCGAGCAAGTGGGGGGTTAATGACACGTATATGTCCCAGTGAAAAGGCGGTGACACACATGTAGAAGACACCAATGAAAAGAGTTTGTGGTGATAAGAACTGACAACAGCGTCTGTTTGTTTTCCACAGGTCATGTCTGAAAGACAACTATTGAAGGAAGTGGTCTAATATTATCTATTAGCATCTCCCCCTGAAAGACAGTAGCCCAGTCAGCTGCATAGCTGTTTTACTTGTTGTGCTTGGTGAGTTTACGTTGTGAGTTCATAAGCTTGCGTACTGACCTGTACCCCAAAATGTGCGGCAGGGGTAGTAGCAACCCTTCGCCTCGTCGGGAACCTCCCCAGGAGCACAGTGGAAATGCAGGTGGGTGGAGATCCTGCTGGACTGAATTGCCACCAGGTTACCCCCGATACCTGGACATGACAGAGAAGGTTACACACAGCAATGTAATAGCACTGCATTGATTTCATCATTAATTGATCTGATGATTGTTTTGTTGGTTAATTGATAGAATATTTAGACTATACAACATCAGAGAGCTGACATTTCCCACATTTAGAGCTTTGAATGTCTCCTGTTCTTCTTCAATGGTTCAGCTGGGGCATTAGCAGAGAATCTTCCTACCAATTCCACTAATGTCTCTATGTGGAACACATATCTCATGAACTCTTCTAATCTAATCAGCTGAATCTAATTGACTTCACAATTTGCATGTCTGTCATTAATTGCCCAAGGAAGTGCAGTGCAGAGTTTGGTGCAATTTGTAAATTGTCGGACAGACGAAAATCTGAAGTAAAAGATGTCAAGAGAGCCTCTAAAATTTAAGAATGTTTGATTTATAACATGAGAATGAGCTATATTTTCTTCCATTAACAATGGTAGTGATTTTTTTTCTGATATTTGCGAGAAACACCATCATGTCATCTGCCAATCTTATATTCATTTTATATAATGAACAGGCTAGGATTTGTATTTACTGTCCTATAATGTGCAAGAATCTGTTATTGGTGAGACTAGCTGCCTCTATTTTACACTTTGATACATTCATTGATAAAAAAAATTGTATAAACAGGTGACCAGCACTCTGTTGCAGTCAGTGGGGGCAGGGATGTCTGCAGACAGAGTTCAACATGTCTTCTTCTAAGTCCTCGGATAAACCCAGCAGTGGTAATTAATTGGGTCGGTTGAGTTGGTTGCTTAATAGACTTCTGAAATAGCTGACATACAATGTATGAAAATATAACACCAGTTCACTTATTTAAACTTATATATGAGCCACACATATGAGCAGTATTCACTTCTATTTTATGAAAAACATTGACAATCTTCCTTGCAGACACACCAGGTAGGATGAAAACAACATTTTCAAACTTCACTCTGCACCATAGACTGTTTAGAAAAAGCTCTGCACACAATGTCCAGCAAATAAACAATAAAATAGTATATTATAGAACTGTTTGTGGAATGAGAAGGAATAATTTTCAAATAGCTCCGGTGCATTACCTCTGCCCATTCTAAGCAGTCAGGCTTCGAACGGGAACCGCTTTAGTCAGTTCAATGAAAAATGA